TGCTTGTGGTGTTCCGGAAACACTATTTTCCAAGCGGTCAAAAAGTCCACTGAAATATTCATCAACATCCATCTGAATAGTCACATTCAATGGTTGGCCATCTATATCTTTGTACGCATGACAAAATTGTATCGCTTCGTATGCTTTTTTTTCACTTTCTTGCAAATGACCAAATACTACCTGAAGTTGATATAAAAGGCTTTCATCTTTATTATCGTCAAGAACTGGGGCAGAGAAAAGACTTTCCCGAAAAGCAGTGTTCATAAAAAATTGCTGAATTATTGAATTGATATAACAAGTAGCTCCTAGATTTGACAAACCAACATAACCTGCAGAAGCTTTTTGGCATGTTTTTGGGCAATAATTCCAATTATCGTTTAATTGTTCCCCACGATCTAATTGTCTCAAATACAATTCAGTTATGTGGACAAAATTTTCTGGACAATCTTTAACGAGCTCATTTAATAAATCCAAAGCTGCAGTCCTTGAGGCTTCAAGTTTGCATTTTGGAGGAAGAACAGATCCTGCATGTTCAAGTGTTGGTACTTCAAAAAGACAATCATTGAAGATCAAGTCAAGCAAGCTATGTGGATTATTAAACAATGAATTAATAAAAGACCAAGCAAGTATTAATAAAGGATACTTGAGAATCAAAAAATAAAATAAGATAAAAAACAAGTCGAAACCATACTCGTCATTAGGAAGACGCTTAAATTCGGGATGTTCTGCAATGATGATTGTCATCAATTGTATTAAACCAACAATAACAGTATCTTCATTAGGAGAATTAAATTGCTATTAAAAACAATAGATTATTTTAGAACATTACGTATTTATTGATAAAAAAAAAAAAGTACTAAAATTTATAACCTCTTTGATTGGATGTAATTTGATTTGTTGTTTGATATCGTTATACAGAATAGGCAAGCTAACGCGAGCAGACTTTGTTATATATGGCATCAAATGTCCCATTAGTTCAAAATATTCTTTACTAGTGTCTACATAATTTTCTACGTCTGGTAAAAATGACCATAATAAAGTGAGAAATGTTTCAAGTGAAGGCGGTAATCGGACCAAAGCTCCATCGAAGGTTGCATTGCTAGTAATCTCTTCACAAAATCGAAGAAGATTTTGTTCTAAAAGGTTTCTTGCCTCTTCTGACCGACATCCAACAAGTGCTGACATTAACCATTCACGCAAACCTTGAAATTCGATAAAGCTCGAAAGTGCTGATTCATCGCGTAAACATAAACAAGATAGAAGCTTCATAGAGTGTTGGATAATTATTAAGTCTTCATCAACTGTCAAATCAAATTTATATAAATTTTTTAAAAATGTAAATTAAATATTTAGAGCGCTCTCAAGAACCTAACTCAGAACTCAACAAACAATCTGATTGGTAGGTTCGATCAAACAGACCAATCAGGTTTTTGTTGAGCTCATTGAGATAGGTGCCTGAGAACGCATTTAGTTAATATTTTTTTAGCAATTGTAATAATATTAAATTGTTCTTAATATTATAATTTATTCATTAGATAACCAATATTTTTGTGCAAAATGCAATAAATCTGTGGATGCAATTAAAAGGTTGTGCAAAACTCTTAATTATTAGGATCTTAAGCTCTTATTTGATAATCATACTTAATTTCTTATTTTGAATTTTACTATATAGATCTTGTATAAAGACACTTCCGAGAAATTTGATTATGCATTTAAAGCGCTTTGATTTTGACATGGAGTTATTAAAAAGAGTAAAAATTAATGAATTATTTGAATTTCCTACACATATAAATATGGAACCCTACACTTTGGACTATTTAATACGTAAAGAATCAGGACAACTTGATGACTCAAAAGTAGATGCTGGAAATAAGGCACAATTTGAATATGAACTTGTTGGCGTTCTTGTTCACACTGGGACGGCTGATTCTGGCCATTACTATTCGTTTATCAAAGAGCGCAAGCCTTCATGTAATGAAAATGATTCAGAACGCCGTTGGTACCAATTCAACGATTCTACTGTTGAGATATTTGATCCTAAGGATATTCCTAAGCAGTGTTACGGTGGGCCAGAGTATATAATGCAACTGGATACTACTCAACAAAAAAGTTTGCCAAAGATGTTTTTAAAACAATATAATGCTTATATGCTTTTTTATGAAAGAGTCTCTGAT